TTTTCTAAATTTATTTTAATTTTTAAAATGACTTACATTAAAAATCACTTTCAATTAAATACTTCCCTTTAATAATAATAATAATTTTATTTTAGTAATCACTGTGCTTAAAGTTTAATTGTTTTAATAGGTATATTTTATTTATTATTATTATTATTATTATTAAATAAAAATACTAAATTTAAACAAATTAGAATACTAAATATTAGACAAATACCATTATTGTAGTAAAGTATACTCTATTAAAGTACATTAATAGAGTATTTAATTTTGTTAATGAATGAATAACCTGTTCAATAAAATATTGTTCACCCTGTTGCCTACCCACTTTAACAATGGTATATTCCAATTGGGTGGTTTATGTCCTGGGTGGTTTATGTCCTGGGTGGTTTATGTCCTACATTCTTTAATAGTTTCCCCGACTCTGGAATGCTTTACCTGCTGATAAAAGAAATTTATTACTCTTTAACATCAATCATTTTTTCATGGAACTGAATGATTATTATAACAACATTTAAGGGATTTGGGAATTTGCTCGATTGCTCTCTCTGTGGTTTATTTTATCTGTACTTTTTATTAGGCCTTTTTAATCTTTTTGTAATTATATTATGTTTCTTATACCGTACTACATTTTTATGTTTAAAATATTTTTTTTTTAAATTATGTATATAGAATTGCGATATTGTATTTTTGTTGTCATGAGGAGAGCCCCTCGACAGTAGATTTTCTACTTTTGGGAAATCCTGCCACATGACAACAATTACTATTTTTGAAATTTTATATTTGTATATTTTTTATATTTATATCTATTTGGCGAAATAAATGAAATGAAATGAAAATGAGTCCTCGATCTAGCACCCAGGCTCAAAAGTGCTTTGTTGATACATAACAGCATGTGTGTCTCTGACATCGACTGTATATCATATTAAGCCCCATAAAAAAATTATTAGTCTATCACCCTATCAAAGAATAACAACTGATGTGGGAGGGAGGTGTTTTTTTTTGGTTTTTTTTTGCTAATCCCGCCCCCATTTTACCGATGATCACAAGTAAACCAATGGTTAGAGACACATATATAAAAATTCATAAGAATGGAATCTAATTCATATATAAAAAATATGTTTTTGTTGTACCAGTAAGCATATTTGCAAGAAACCCTAAGCTTTTCAAGTGAAAAAAGATGGAAAAAGGACCGTTTGAAATTTAAAAAAAAAATTTTGATTGAAAAAAAAATTTGATAAAAAAAAAAAAAAAAAAAATCAGATTTCCCCCAAAAGTGATGAGGGGGGTGATAAACTAATCATTTTTTATGGGGCCTTATATCTAGTGGCGAATTAAGGGGGCCCTATGTTTTTTTTTTAATTTTTAAGTCTGTTGAGTGTCAATTCTGGCCATTTAAATGTGTGGTAATCACATGGTTAGAGACACATATATAAAAATTCATAAGAATGGAATCTAATTCATATATAAAAAATATGTTTTTGTTGTACCAGTAAGCATATTTGCAAGAAACCCTGAGCTTTTCAAGTGAAAAAAGATGGAAAAAGGACCGTTTGAAATTTAAAAAAAAAATTTTGATTGAAAAAAAAAAAAAAAAAAAATCAGATTTCCCCCAAAAGTGATGAGGGGGGTGATAAACTAATCATTTTTTTTTTCATGGGGCCTTATATCTAGTGGCGAATTAAGGGGGCCCTATGTTTTTTTTTAATTTTTAAGTCTGTTGAGTGTCAATTCTGGCCATTTAAATGTGTGGTAATCATAATTTTTCTTACCTCAGCCCAACCATAGTGAGAGTGGTACTGACCCATTATGAGGGACAGTCTCTACCTAGGCCATAATAAACGCCACTGGCTAATTCTTCTAAAGAATAGATCCATTAATCGATACTGCTTTTGTTTATATTGATTAATAATAAAAATCATTCTCATTAGGGGACTGGAACTGATAGCTTCATTGACCATCATCGTCGTCGTCATCATCATTATGATCATCGTTATCTCCATCATTATAATCACCATAAAATTTATATCAGAATTACTACTCCCATGAAGCCTCTATCATATTATATTAATCTAATCATTGTTTGACTATTAATTGCTTGGCAAACTTTGTTTCTTTTTTAGTTCTTTTGAAAACATCTGTGATATGCTAGGAGGAGGGCATCCATCCAACTTCAGTTGCCCTGTTGGTACGGCGGAAAATTGCATCGAATGCACCTGCCCACCACTGCCTGGAAGATACAACACGAGCGTAACACCTGTGGTTGTAAATGTGGACGAATTACCATATTACGTCAGGCTATTTATCAAGTTATTCGCATCGGTAACTATATAGCTTGATAACAACGAATAATAGGCCTTTAATGTATTTCTTTCTTACAAATATAAGCCACGCAACTATGATCCACCTCACAGGTATCTTCAATAATATGTTCCACTTATTATGAAAAACAATGGACCTTAATCCCCTAAGCCCCGCCTCTTGGATATTCCTGCTATGGTTCCATTAAACGACAGTGTTAAGGAACCATACGGTATATGATCTAAAAAAATAGTTTAACTAAAAAAAATAGTAATTTACTTTTAGAAAAGACAATACGAATGGTATTAGAATGTCCGTTAATAATTGGCGAGAAAAATTTATAGAGCCCTTTATCGTTACTAACGAGTCGATATATTCAATTTTTAAATAGGGAAAGTACGAAACACGTTTCACCATGACGGACGGAAAAGATGACCTTGTCTTGTGTATGGAGACCTCGATGGAAATAGCGACATCGGCGGAGGACACATCACTTGCTGAGCGAAGACCTGTCTTGGATAAACTACCCGACTATTGCTATCGGAATAATGCGACAAAACCAACTCAATCCAACGACGTCTACTGATTATGCTCAATGTTAAGAACTTCTGTACCGAAAACAATCGCATTCAACCCATGTTCCTCCTCGAAATACCAGATCCATCTGGCCATGATTTTCATCCTAATTTTTCACTTAAATAATGAATTATGTTAGGGAACATCTACGATTAATGATAGTAAATATAATATATAAATATATAATAATAATATATATATATTATTATTATTATATTATACAGAATATTAATATAATATATAGGCCTATATATATATATATATATATATATATATACAGTATATATAGGCCTATATAATATTGCACTGTAACGTTGGCACGCTTCAAAACAAGTTGAGAATTCTATTCAATAAAGCAAAATGAAATTATTGATTACTCGTGGATATTTTTGCGTCTTTTACTCATGAAGCTTTTCTATCAATAAAAAGAAATGGTTGTCAATTATTTACATTCATTATTACGGTACCCATTATCAGCAAATATTTAGAGGGCCGATGTAACGAGAAGGACCTTTCCTGCTGTACAATATTTCTGCCACTTCTGTTTTACCTTTACACTTTTGTAGTCCTTTGGAGTTCGAACTTTACCCACCAAAACCAGAACCATGCATTAATGATTCGGGGTTGTGGGTGCCGCAAGAGCACCGGTTGGGTGTCCAGAACAGGGGCGACGCCAGCGGGAGGGGGAAGGGGCTGAAGCCCCCTCCCCCATCGGCCAAAGCTTGTCGGGAAGTCGGACCAAAAAAGAAAATGCCTAATTTTCCCATCCCAGTACTGTACTGCCTACGCCAAGGCTGACAGTGCCATTTTCGGCCATCTAGACGTCCTATTTTTTTTAAATCTCCTTTTGGGAAGAGGGGACACCCCTCCCATACCGACCCCGGCTTGGGCCTAGCTTCGGCCCTTAGATAACGCTGCGCGCTATAGTTACACCCATAAATACTTAGTCACCTCCCCCACCCCACCCCCAGTCCGGACACATTAGCCCCCACCCCATAAATTATATCCTAGAGCCATCACTGGTCCAGAAGGAATCCCCGTGGTTGGTTAGGGCAATGAATAGACCTACAGCTCCACAGCCGTTTTTGCAATTTTAAGAGTAGGCCTATATAACAGACTTACTGTACCGGTACTCTTTTGAATAAACGCCCCCGCTTAGAGCCTCATTTGGAATAACCGCCTCCCTCGAATATACGCCCAGGGATTTTCTTTTTTTCTCGAATAAACGCTTCCTAAAGGAGAGTAAACAAATCTAATGAAGCAACATCATTCTCAACAGATTCAATTAATGTTCTCTAGTAGAATTACATTTTTTTTAAGTTGGTTGGGATCAATAAGTCTTAATAATAAAACATTTTCAAGGTAATTGTGCTGAAGTTCCACTTTACAGTGAAATTAAGAAACGTTTATTTGAGTAAGTACGTATCCATTATACACCAAAACGATAAACTCTTTCCTCGAATAGAACAATTCGTCGGGGAGAAAAAAATATTATATGTATTTTTTACATATTAGTAAACTCTAAAATCGATTAAATAAGCCTTTGAAACCCCTGAATTGTCGAAATTTTGGCGGTTTCGCCCCCAGGACCACTTTCGGAACCTTGTAATCGAAGCTCGACCACCCCCACTTTGCTTTCGTCGGGGAAATCTGACACCTCGTCGGGGGAACCGCCCCCTCCCACGTCGGGGACCTCCCCCCCGCCGTCGGGCAAATCCTGGCGCCACCTCTGGTAGGTGTTCGTCCTTAGAATACTGAGTCTCTCTTACTATTTCAATTAAAAGAAGTGGAGTTGAATAGCTTGGTTAAGATGCTTCCCTTCAATCCGAGGATCCTCAGTTGAGTAGTCGGGGGGTGGGCAGTGCGAGGGGTGCATGACTTCTACTAGAGTTTACGTTTACAATGTATCAAATAGTAAATTCTTTACGTTATTAATTAATAATTTTCAAAGGCTTGGATCCTGGACATCGTCAATATACATAGAAAATACGAATAGACCTGATAGAGATTCGATTGTCAAATAAATACTGAATTAATATATTAAACCAGTGGCGAATTTAATTTTCCAAAATGAAAAAGAGAAAATTTTACTCAAATTTAAGTAAGAGTGCCAGTTCCGGTCGTCCAGGAGCGCCATAATCATTAATTGTATTACCTCAGCCCCAACCCATCGTGGGGCTGAGGTAGATAGACTCTCCACCTGTGAAAGTCCTTCTCTGGGCCCCCTCTATTTCAAATTCCTGGATCCGCCACTGTGAACTTTGAGATACCTACGTTATAAATCTTTTCATCTCTACGTTTGAATAAAAGGAAGGATAGCTTTTACTTTTCATGTTTCTATACTTTAATCCGTTAAAAGGCCATAGCTTCAGGTGGGGGTGCTTCGCCCCGGCCCCCACCAGGGATTTTGCCACTCAATCCCGCTGGGCCCTATAAGCGTCCCCCACACCCTCAACCAATGGGCCCGTGCAGCAAAGCTGCCTCGCGGCCCTGTAAACATAATCTAACGATATCAGGTTTGATCCCTTTTTTATTTTATTTACCTTAAGTAAATAAAACTAAAAGCACCAACGCAATAAATATCGAATGTGCTTTTCCTTTTGGTCATAAGAAATAAAAAAGCTTATTATTATGGTCAATCCAGCCAATAGCCTGCTCTTCAAAGATGCCGTATGAGAACATCTAAAAATTAAAATAAAATTAAAAATTATTGTCAAAATATAAAAATCAGAAGGACCATGCTCCAAAACTAACCCACCGGTGGCACACAACTGCCTTAACTATGAAGGGATGGTTAATCAATTTGCATGCGTCAAAGAACCCGACTGTACTATTGAACCAGGGCCCCTCACCACCTAGTTACGCCACTGCATCCCATTACCAACTAATAGAGCGCCAGATCAAGTATGAGAACTCGGAAAATTGACTGGGCATCTTTTGAATAAATGAAGTTTATAAGACATCTATCGAAGATAAGCGATAGTTCAGGTGCAGAAAAGATAATTGTCCAGAGAGCATAGGTCATGACAAAAATGCTGTGGGTATTTACACAAACAGCAGATGAAATTAGTGGTGATGGTGGTAAGCTTGCATCTGCCGATGAGATTTGCAGGATTATTGCAAGTTTTCTTGCAAACTCGGATGAGAACGTGCTCAAGGTGCAATTGTCGGGTACTACAACAAAAAAGAAAATAAGGACTAGTCATTCCCGGCCGATTCATCGCCAAATGTATGAAGAAGAAAGTTAGAAACATACTGTCCAGGGAGCTGTTATCTTTCCAGGAGAAATAGAGCCCATCCTCATTTTTAAATCGACATAAGTACAATTGTTGCTCAAATTATGCCAACCACAGTCCCAGGATTGATTGGATTATTGGCTTGGGAAAAAAATCACATGACAATGTTTTTAAAAAAAATAATATTTTTACATGCAAGAGTGTTGAAGTCATGAGTGTATTTAACTGGAAAATAATAATAATAATAATAATAATAATAATAATAATAATAATAATAATAATAATAATAATAAAAACAACTCTGTATAGGCCTATGGGACACACAGTGTTTTAATTTTTAGATTTTAAATACTGTAGTTTGTTTGTTTAATTTATTTCTCCACACACGTGAACATGTGAACATACATAACAAAAGCTTAAAAGTAAAACCAACTAAGAATGATAATACATTTCAGAATAAGTGTGTAGAAGGAGGCCAAAATAAGTTGAGAATAAAACTTTTAGCCGTGGCCACCAGTTAAAAATATATAGAAATCCAAAAATATAAAAACAGTATAATATATATATTATATATATAAATATATAATATATATAAACATATATATATACACACATACACACACATATACACACATATGTATATATATATATATATATATATATATATATATATATATATACACGCATACACAAACACCCCCACACACATATATACACAAACACATGCACAAACAAACGCATAAGGAAGCATGCAGTCCGTTAAGTATAATAAGAATGACTGACAGACAGACCAGCAGACTTACCCGTCATACTCCAAAACCAGACACTTTTTAAGATTGTATTTGAAAGAGTTGAGATTAGGTAAGGATTTAAAGGAAGTTTTTAAGGAATTCCATAATTTTGGACTAGTAAAATATGGATATTTTTCTAGAGGAGGATGTATATTTTTCAAATAAAACGTTACTTTTAGTTTAAGCCAATTAGATACCTTAGTAAATTTAGTGTTAATAATTGTAAAGAGATCATTTTTATTTTGGTGTGAATAAAAAATGTTAGTGTCATCTGCGAAAAGAACAAAGATTAAAATAGAAGAGCAGTTTGGGAGATCATTAGCATATATTAAAAATACCAAGGGTCCAAGTACGGATCCTTGTGTGGAACACCACATGTAATATTAGATAAATAATGGTCCATGGTAACAAAAGCCTTGCTTAAATCAAGAAAAATCATTATTATTAATTGCTTTAGTAATTTAGTCGTAAATATCAATAATAGCAAGATCTGCTGAGTATAATTTTCTAAAATCATATTGGCGATTATAAAGAATATTGTGTTTTGGTTAAGAAGGTGTATAATCTACTGCAAATTAAGCGCTCCAGAATTTTTGAAAAACATGGTAACAAAGAGATTGTCTATAATTAGTAAATAAAATAAGGATCATTTTTTTTAAAATAGAAACTACCTTGGCAACCTTCAAGTTATCAGGAAAAATTCCTTCGGCAAAACAAGTTCGAAATCAAAGATATTGTTAAGGGTGCAATAAAACAAGAACGGGATTTTTGGAGGCATGCATCAAAACTGAACACCATGTTAAAGTTAGTGGAGACTGACATACCGGGAGATGAATGACGGACAGACTGACCGACCGACAATTCTGAGATGCGAATTTGATGCATTGGACAGAAAATTGAGTTGGTGATGTATGCCTACTGTATTCTGTATGCCTACTGTATGTTGATTTTTTAAGGAATCGAGGGGCGCTTCGGGGCGTATTCGCGCGAGTACGGTACGGTATGCATATGATTCTATTTCTTCTAAAAGGAATATATTTTCCGAAAATGACATAACTTTTACACATAATATATCTCTCCTATAACCTTGGATCTTTAACCACCCCCCCCCCCCCCCCCCCGCCCCCCCCCCCCCGCTTCCAGGCTAGACGTTTAGAAAATGGCTCTCCCATACGCTAAAAATGTTATACTTAATTCTGTCACAAAAAATTATTACATTTGTGGGCGAAGAAGTCATATTTTGTTGTTACAATTGTGGGCGTTATCACATTTGGCAATGATTTTTATTACATTTGTGGACGCAAGTTGTTACCGTTGTGGGTGCTGGTTGTTTCATTTGTTA